AACTGATGAAATTGTCCCCTTTGCCTGAGTTCGAAAATTAAGCTCCAAAATACCTCGAAAGGGCAGTAGAGCCTTAGGAAGTATTTTGGTTACCTTCAGCAACCAAAATAATGGCAACTTACAGGTAATTTCTTCATGCTTACAGATAAACTCTCAAACTCAACGTGAGTGGCATGTGGCATGAGAGCAAAATCAACATGAGTTTAGCACTAAGAGAAAATTTAGACTTACTTTGAGGGAAAAGGAAGTGTTAGGGTAAGGAAGAAGAAGTTTTGTAAGAGATTTGGCTAGGAAAGGGAAAATGAAGAGCAGAGTTCTTCCGGCAGCTGCCAGAAGAGCAAAATGGAGAAGAAGATGAACAGTGCACGAGATTGCTGGGTTTTTGTAAGTTACAGAGAAAGCTTGCTCTCTGGGTCTGAGTTGTGGCTAATGGTGAAGTATTTGGTGGTTGGGGTAAGTTTCCAGCAGCCTGACAAAAGCTATATCAGACTCTAGAATGGCATGACAGAATGGAAAGTGGGAGGAGATGGAGGAATAGGGCACGAAATTGCAGAGATTTCATAGTGAGAAATTAAGCTTGCTCTCTAGATGTAGGTTGATTTCGTTGGGTTGAAGAGGCCTCAATTTATAGCAGTTGGAAACCATCACTTCCCAAGAAACCCTAATGGCTTCCATCCCATTTTGTCAAGTCTTTCCCTTCATTTCTCCCTTCATCCCTTCAATCATCCTTTTTTGGTGAAATCTTCTCTGCCCATTTGCACAAAATCAAGGATTTTTTGGAGCTCAAGGCCCCTTTTCTCGTGGCTGTTTCAGACTCCTATTTTCAGCCATCTTTCGTCCTTCTTTTCTCTCCTCTTCCAAGGCTAGGTCTGATGAGGGAAGGAATTGAATATACATGCTGGTTCAAAGGATGCTTCTGGCAGCTCGCATGCTAATATTCTTTGGTACTTTGAATGTTTCTTGCTTGGAACCTGATCCCTCCATGTGCTGGAACCTCTAGACCTCCCCTTCGTGGCTTTTATTCCTCTAGCTAGGTGCTGGTGCCTTTGTAGCTTATTATGGTAGTTGTATGGGCCAAGATGGTTTATCAAGCAAGTGGGCTATTTAAAACGTTTGGGCTTTTTAGTTGAGTCAATAGGCTATTTTGATTGGGCTTATTTTTGGTTAGGTTATTGGTTAGGTTATTTCATTCGAGTGGCTTGGGCCCACTTAGGCTTGTAGCGTGGTTGGGTGTGTAATAATGATTTCCTACTTGGCATGGCATGTCGCTTGGCATGCTTTCAATTATTATGCTTGACGGGATAATTACCATAGATTTGCGAAGATAATGCATTTTATAATCTTAATCTCGATTCCTAACATGACGATTTATTTATTTGGCATGGCGCGTGTGGTGTGACTCGTATATGACGAGCCTTCGTATACTCAGATATGTGATTTTTCTTAATACAGTAGCGTATTGGACCGAAAACTTATTTGGGCCCAACCGTGGACTTTTTCGGGCCTCAACAATAATCTCATGGATCAGCCCCATATATGATTAGTGACAGATCTATTAAGGCGCAAGGAGGTGCAATTGCACCTCTCCTCGCCGAAAAAGCCATCATAGGCGTAAGTCTGATGCATATTTTTTTCTTCTTGAGCAAACGCCAATTTTGTTTATTTATTTTTTTCTTGTTTCAATAATTTTTTTTTTTTCTCTCCTTTCTAAACGCACATGGCTATAAAGTATGACATAATGACATTCTGGTTTTTGGTTGAACATGGCTAATAAAATACTGTCATGATCCACAAACAGCCGGTTGAGCAAACCCAAATAAATAACCATTTGGCAAAACAAGACAATAAATACTAATCAGGTTTACAATCTTGCAGTTGATATGATAACAACCTGGTTCAACATTGTCAGAACCCATGAAGTTGACAGTATACAAGTGAAAATGCTCAAATATATATATATATATATATATATATATCTTCACCAAGGTATAAATTTTTTGTGTCGAAATTATTCCTTATTTTCAATACTCACAAAAGGTACACTTTAACATTCTCATTATAACTCTCACAAAAATTTAAGATCAAAGAGAAAAAAAATAAGTGACTTGGATCAAAAAGTACAAATTTATATTGGGCATCAGATCATCTGCATTTACAATAATCTTACTTAGCTAAGTTTCAAATAGTGCTTTCAGATTGTAAGGCGTGGTGATGGAATTTCCACTCCATATTTGCTTGGCAAACTGTTCGTAGACCCTGTCGGTTGGATGAGCAGAGTCAAAGAAGACATATTCACTAACATTCTTGCATAAATTATACTCTTTGGCGATTCTCTTTCCTCCGCAGTTATAAATTCCTCCATATACACCACTTCCACAGCATGCCGCCTCCCCTTCCACGAAACCTTACAATTTTCCAACAATTTATCACAAATGTATAATAGTATAATGATATCAAAACCATGTATAATTAATCAGATCATTAAGAAAACAAAACATATATAGATGGAATTAATACCATATTTAGATGGGTGGTTCATTCTCTGTGTCAAAAACTCGTTAAAATCAGAGATTGAGTATCTGAATCCCTTGAGTTTCTTCTCTAGCTTCTGTAGGGCTTTGGCAAGTGCTTTGTTGTGTAGTTTCACATATGGTGTAAATTCATCAAAGCAAGCACCTTCTTTTTCCGTTTTAAGTGCTCTTGCGTATGGAAGACAAGCAATAGGCCAGAGGTTAAGCAACGCAAAATTTCTTCCTCCTTTCTTATAGATTCCCTAACACAAGACATCGAAATTATGTTAATTAGTAATTAATATGCATAAAAAGGATTATCATTTTTTTTCTTTTTTTCTTTTTTGGTCTTTTCAAGGGCTAAGAATTTACTTCGACCACTGAAGTTATGTTGCCTATCACCAGGTCTACGTATTCCTGGTGAGAGTAGGATCCAAGCACACTTGGGTCCGTGTCGAACGGGAAAATGTAATCGTTGCTTCCAATACTAAAAAAGTAAACAGCTCTTGATAGCAGAGATTTGGCTTCTTCATTGCCCAGTTTCTTCCTCAAGGACTTCCTAACGATCTTGAAATTTGACAGTTGAGAAGGAAGGCCTATCACCTGAAACAAGGTTGGTTCAAAGTGATTATTTACATATTGTAGAGAGAAATAGTTTATGTAAATCTAATAAGTAATCATTTTCATACGGACATGAGATCATAGTTTCAGGAAGTCAGTACTGCACATTACTGAATCGCATTATGTGCTCAGTAGATTGAGGTGTCAATTAGCAATACCGTGAACCCTAAATATTAAACTTGAATCGCTCAAGTCTCTTAAACCCAGAAAACCCGTCTTTTAAACAACTCGAACTTAAGACGCACCCAGATTCTTGCAAAAACACGTCACATACCGCACCTCGGCGAGTTTCAACCATAGCACCAGCTCCAGCAGACGCAAAGTTGATACCATATGAAAATTCATGATTGTCGGGCTGTAGATATGGTGGAATCAATGGCAACTTCGCATACTCAGCTGCAATGCAACAATAAAATTGTCTAGTAATATTTCAGATATATTTATATAAAAGAACACTCATATCAAATTTTCTACGTACCAATAAAATCTGGAACTTGACGACCATCAGAAAATCTCCCAGTTGGGTGCTTAAAGAAGGTTTCACCATATGGCGAATAATTTGCCTGCCAACTAGTATTAAAGTAGTTATTATTTCCAACTTCAAAGACTGAATCCCCAAATACGAAAAGGGGTGCATGTGTTTTTGGCAACCCAGAATGGCCATGGCTTTGGGTTGTGACAATGAGAAGGCTTGTACATAAGGCAAAGACAAATACTTGGATATTTGCCATTTCTATCTATTAGATTAGATGCATCTTCACCTCATCTAGCTTCAGTTGATATTTATAGGGGCATCTCGAGGCAGTGCATAAAATAAAATGTGCCCCCCAAAACAAGTAAACAACTATATCTCCCCTTTAAAAAAAAATTAAAACGATCAAAATGTGCATAAATCGTAGTTTTCCGTAACGAATAATAATATACGAAAAGCAAACAAATACTTTACATTATCATCACAACTTCTGATGTCCAAAATGATAAGTCCATATAAATACTAAAATAACGACCTGCTGGAACACATGGCTAATTAAATACCGTGATGAGATCCACAGCCACGTTCCTGAGAGAACCAAAATTAATAAAAATTTGGCTAATTAACTGTGAAATTAAAATCCTATACTTTTAAGCTTGTTGCTCCATCAAACAGAATCCTCCACCTCTGTCAAAAGATCTCGATTGGATTTGATGTGGGAAGTGTAAGGACTAGTTAATGCTCTTTTGGGATTGATTACAATTATTCAGATTTGATTCAAAGAACTTTTCTTTTTCATTGCATTCTATGTGTTTGTATTTAGCTTCTTTTAAAATTGAAGATATATATAGCAGATGTGGTCTCGTGGGGTAATGCCAGTGGTCAGTGCAGTGAGCCAACCATTTTGCACTTAAGTTCCGATCTCCCAGATTAATTTAGAGTAGTTTAGACAATCATTTGTGTTAAATTCTGCGTTATTGCATAGAGTTGAGGTGCACTTGATACGCATGGAAAAAAAAAATTGTTGCAAAGATAACACTGTTTTGTTATTCTCAATCAATCAAGATTGTCATTGTATTATTAGCTAGAAATAATAATTTGCTATCCCTAGAATCTCTCCAAAACCAAAAGCATGGTGCCCAGCTAGATATATGTCGCAAAACACTCTCAGATGACAGGCCCATCCATAAGGCTCTGCACCTTTTGAGACAAAGTTAACAAAACGTTACCATATGAAATAATGTTTATTTGATGGCTCTCCTTCAACCACCACACAATTATAATATTCAATACAAAGGCTGCATCTTATTTTGAGAAAAAGCTTCACATATGAGTTGTTGCCTCTCTTTCAAAAACTACAAATTATTTGCTTATTCACCATCGGATCATCCCCTTACTTAGCTAATTTTCAAATAGTAAAGCGCAGTGATGGAATTTCCACTCCATATTTTCTTGGCAAACTGTTCATAGACCCTCTCGGTTGGATGAGAAGAATCAAAGAAGACATATTCACTAACATTCTTGCATAAATTATACATTTTGGAAATCTTCATTCCTCCACAGTTAAAAATTCCTCCATATGGACCTCTTCCACAGCATGCCACCTTTCCTTCCACGAAACCTTACAATTTTCCAAAAATTTTATCACAAAACAAAAATACGGTCGCTTGAATAAATTGTAATTAACATAATTAATGACATCAAAACCATGTATAACGAAGGAATTAATACCATATTTAGAAGGGTTGTTCATTCTTTTTGTCAGAAACTCATTAGGCCAGAGGTCAAGCAACGCAAAATTTCTTCCTCCTCTCTTATAGAATTCCCTAAAACATGTCATCGAAATTAATAATGTTTTTTAGTAATATGCATAAAGGGATTTTCAGTTCATTTTTTTTGAATTGCTAAGATTTCATTACTTCGACCACTGCGGTCATGTTGCCTCTCACCAGGTCTACATATTCCTGTTGAGAGTAGGATCCGAGCACAGTTGGGTCTGTGTCGAATGCGAAAAGGTAATCGTTGCTTCCAGTATTAAAAAAGTAAACAGCTCTTGATAGCAGAGATTTGGCTTCTTCATCGCCTAGTTTCTTCCTCAACGACATCCTGACGATCTCGAAATTTGACAGCTGAGTTTTAAGGCTTATCACCTGAAACAAGGTTCAAAGCGATGATTTCCATCACAAAGAGAAATAGTTGATGTATGTTATATGAAAAATAATAAGTGACCATTTCCATGTGGACAGGAGATTCAAGAAGTTGGTTAGTACTACATTAGTGAATCACATTATGTGTGCTTGGTAGACTGATGTGTGTCAATTAGCAATGGTCGTAACCCTGAACCCTAAATACTAAACTCAAAATGCTTAACTCTTAAACCCCAAAAACGACCCTAAATACTAATTACTCGAAACGGTTAACTCGTAAGCCCAAAACACCTGTCGTTTCGACGACTTTAATTTAAGATGCACCCAGACTTCCTACAAAAACAAATATGTCACATACCGAGCCTAGGCGAGTTCCATCCAAAGCCCCAGATCCTGCAGATGCAAAGTTGACACCATATGAAAATTCATGATTCTCGGGCTGTAGATATGGTGGAATCAATGGCAACTTCGCATACTGAGCTGCAACAATAAAATAATGTCTAGTCATATTTCATATAAAAATATAAATTTTAAAACATAAGAACATTCATATCATATTTGTAAACATATCTTACCAATAAAATCTGGAATTTGACGACCATCAGAAAATCTCCCAGTTGGGTACTTAAAGTATGTTTCAACATATGGATTATAATTTGCCCGGGCTGTAGAGTTAAAGTAGTTACTATTTCCAGCCTCAAAGACTGAATCCCCAAGTATGAAAAGAGGTGCATGTCTTTTTGACAACTCAGAATGGCCATGGCTTTGGGTTGTGATAATGAGAAGGCTTGAACACAAAGCAAAGACGAAGATTTGGTTATAACTTATACTTGCCACATCTGTCTATTAACTAATTGCATCTTCACCGGCAAGTTACGTGAAGTTAACTAGTATAGCCTATCAAATGTTATTGCATGGCTTTAATTATTTCAATTCATTTCAGCATTATTTATTATTATTATTATATATATATATATATATACTTACTTTACAAAAACTGTTATAAAGACACTTATGCTTACTAAGCGTTGTTGAAGACTAACGTGTTGCAATGTAGTGTCCTCAAAACCAATTAAAGCATGAGGTGTAAGAATGATAGTTATTCCTATATATATAAACTTGATAGGAGAATGCTCACTAAGCACTCTACAAAGCCAACACAAAAGGCTATTTGAGAGTCTAGGAACCTATAGACTAATTTGGTGGCACAACATTAAGCTTCATCTAACCGACTCTAGCTTACTATAAATAGGTCTACTCAATAGTTCTTTGATCATAGGTACTTCAAGTGTGTTAGTCTCCTAAAAATCATAGACATAAGAAAGAAAGAGTGAAATGTGGTGAGATTTTGGAGAAGCTCAAAGTGTTTGGACTTACAATTGGGAGTTATACAATAGCTTTGGATTTGAGGTAGTGGTTTTTCTTGGGGAGGTTTTGTTTTGCATACATTGAGTTAATTAAATATTGTAAATACTACATTAGGCTTGATAATATTTTATTGTTGTTATGCTTGGTTATATAATAGGTACTTCAAGTGTGTTAGTCTCCTAAAAATCATAGACATAAGAAAGAAAGAGTGAAATGTGGTGAGATTTTGGAAAAAGCTCAACTGGGAAGTGTACAATAGCTTTGGATTTGAGGTAGGGGTTTTTCTTGGGGAAGTTTTGTTTTGCATACATCGAGTTAATTAAATATTGTAAATACTACATTATGCTTGATAATATTTGATTGTTGTTATGCTTGGTTATATTGTTGATTGTTATCCTTGATATTAGATGTATACATGTTGTCAATTATCATTATAATTTGATTAATTTTGACATATTCATATGTTGTCGGTGGTGGTTGGAATTTTTTTTATGGAAAAGAGGATAATGGGAAGTATCTTTTGTGTAGTTGAGTCTAACCATTGTAGGGACCAAGTATGCATTGTATAAATTGTACATTATAAATCTCACTAATCACATAAGACATAGGACCCCTACTGAGCATGTAATGCTCACCCCTTATTGAATCTATTGCAGGCTTTGAAACTAAAGTGTAGTTTTTGCTGAGGAAACAAGAAGAATGGATTATGGATAGTTTTGAGTGTTTTGTTGAAAGTTTGTACTTTCTTGTTATTTTGCTTGTAATAATACAATGTAAATTACTTTGACTTAAATGGAAGTTTACGTTCAATCTTCATGTTTCTTGATAATTAAATTTTTAATTTTAGTTTTTCTTTTACCTCACATTCCCAAATAAAAATAATAATAATAATTGGGGTGTGACATCACCTCACCTAGCTTCACTTCATATTTATAGGCAGGGACGGACCTTTAGTTTGGCAAACCTGGGCTATAGATGACAGGACCCACCCCAGAATTTCCCCTGAACCCGAGGCGGATCCCGTCTTGGTGCCGACATCACACTGATGCCGGGCCCACTTACTAAAAATCCAAGACATCCTACCAAAATTTTGGCAGAGTCTCCCCTGTAAAATGCTCAAACCCAACAATATTCAACCTGCATAATTTACATCATAATATATTCCAACTGCCAGCATGCTTTTAACATACAACAATCCAACATAAAATGGCCTCCGGCCTCAAGTAGCAGCCTAACATGGGCGAATACAGAGCGTCTACAGAATTTGTTTACAACAAACAGATGAGTAGAAAGAATTTATACAGACCCTAACAACTGACGACAAGTTTGGAGCTTGTGACTTGCTCGAACGCCTCCAAAAGCAACTACTGTCTGGGGGGCGCAAAACAGAAATATGTGAGTGAACAAAAATAAAGTTTGCACTTTAAATCAACATTATAACCCCACCATGTAAAAATAATGCTCTAGCATGCAATTTCACAATTCAGAAAACCGAAAACTAATCCATTATCCCAAAGTCCGATACGTTTCCACCTCTCAACTCCACAACTCATTTCCCCCAAAGATATGCAACTCTTATCAACCCGTAAATACCCATATATAAATATATATATCCATATATATATATATATATAGGACTTTAATATAATATACTGCTTCTCTCCATACTAATGTACCGGGGAAACAATCCAACCGGGGGATTGTTAGCTGGTACGCAGGATTTCCGAACACTAACCCGCGTCCAGGGATGAGTAGTCCAACCGGGTGATGGAACTCCATAGCTCACACGCCGGCACTGCCAACGACACGTGTAGCTCACAAATCTCATAACAAGTCCTACGCGCGCAGACAGTATCATCACCCCACCGGCACTGTCAACGACGTGTGTGATGATACTCAAGCAATATACATACTCTTCCCATACGCCGGCACTGCCAACGACACGTATGGAAAGTGTCTCACACACCGGCACTGCCAACGACATGTGTGAGACCCGCAATCTCATGGCCTTCCCACCCCACCGGCACTGCCAACGACGTGTGTGATGATACTTAAGCAATATACATACTCTTCCCATACGCCGGCACTGCCAACGACACGTATGGAAAGTGTCTCACACACCGGCACTGCCAACGACATGTGTGAGACCCGCAATCTCATGGCCTTCCCACCCCACCGGCACTGCCAA